TAACTTGTTGCCTTCATAAATATCCTCCATTTTCTTTCAAAAATGGTAACGAGTTAAGCCACTTTATAAAATTAATTTTCTGTCTCTTTTCGAAAATGAACTCTCTCATCATCATTTTCACTAAAACTCATGATATTCTCATAATACCATCATAATTCTTTTTGAGGTTTTGATAGTTATTTTCTTCACTGAAAATTGGGGGCCCTATATATCCACGGGGTCCTAGGCTGCAGTCCAAAAAGCCTATATATAGATCCGCCCCTGCCTGTAGCCCAATTTAAGCAAAAAAAAAACGACAGATGTGTTATCACCTCCGAGTAATAAGATGAAATGCGTCGCAGCCTGGTTAAAAATAAAATTTATTGCACGCCTCACAACGCGACGCATTTGAGGTAGTGCATTGCTCTCGACACGTCAACGTCAACCAATTTTGTGGTCTTATAATGCCTCTATAATAACCATTTGGCACTTATAGGATAATATGAAAAAATTACGTGAATTTCCGGATGATGATTTTTTATGTGGTCTCGATAAATCCTGAAGAAATTAATTATCGAGATCGGGTCTTTTTTATTAGCTTCAGGATTATATAAACTGGCTCGTTATTTCATATCAATAGCCTAGTACGCATATGAATTGAAACGAAATTTTTTTATTCAATATAAATTATTGTATAATACTTATTGAAAGTCATTTTTTAATTATCACTTGGGCCCAGCTGGACTTTTTTAAACATATTTAAATTTACAATAAATTTTGTTTGTACAAGTTTTGAATGGATTTTATAATACCACTTACCGTACCCTTAAATATTAGACTACAAGTATTGTATCCATTTCGTATCGTATCCATTAATCTGTTCATTCAGTTCTGACTATTGCTTAGTTCCGGTAGTAAAGATCACCTTTTATTAAGATGCGTTATGTCTAATTTTAGATATATCACAATAATGGATATCGAAAAGTATGAGTTATCAAAATGATAAATTCTTATTACGCGAACTTATTACTGTAGCTATTGTTACGGTCATTTGATCTTTTAAATTACTAAGTCAACAGTAATGCAATCATGTTTATTACACAGTTATTATTAGGAATCGGTTAACCTTTAAAATTAATTATTACCGCTACATAAATCCCGGAGCAGCAAATTTCTGTTCATCTTAGAAGAAACTCACGTTGCTTTCAGACTTATTACATCAAATTATTACACGAGGTGGGACCCGGCAACTGCCAGCCTTCCCATTAACTTTTATTACATATTTAATAATAAAAAAATTCCTTGAAATCTAGTAAAGGAATTTTATTTAAAAACGAAAAAAGATTAATAACAAGATAATTAATCGTTTTAATGGTTTATCGTAACACCTATTACAGAGCTTCGATAATATTTTCGTTACATGTATACAACAAAAAAAAAAAACACCTCGTACTGTTCCCGTGATAAGAATGTGTAGAATAAAATTGTTATGAAAAGACATAATATTGGAATATAATAAAACAATTAACACAATACTTTTATTATTCTATGAAGAAAATTATTTAAAATACACAAAAAATAATTAAATAACGATACATTTATAATCTAATAGGTTTAATATAAAAAAAAAAAAAAATATATATATATATATATATATATATATATATATATATATATATATATATATATATATATATTAAAAGACTCTCTAGCCCGAAAATCGGTAACAATTCCAACTTCCTGACTAAGGACTGTTACTGAGAATATCTTGTCAGGAAAAGCCAATAACTGATTTCTAACCCGACTTGGGATTTAAACCTTATGACCACCAGTCATGCTAACGTCCACTTAACCAATGAGGTAATAAAGTTATGTAAACACTGCACAATGTTATATGGAGGATAAATGGAGATATCTATAGGCATAACGTCCTCCGCATTTAGATTCTTAATCGAGGATAAATGTAGATGTATATAGGCACGGCACCCACTTTCCATCAAGTGGACAGTGTGCTCAGATTGTCAAAATCACTCAATAAAATAAAAATGTTTTTTATCTTCCAAAACAAAAATCTATTAATAAAACTTGTAAATAACCCAGCATTCGTGTATTGTTCTCATGAAGATACTCTGATATATACTTGTCAACAAACCAAATAAGCTGGCCTCAAAAACAAACGTTATTTAGCAACAAGTACATCTGCGTTCAAAAATTTGTTTAAATTACTTTAGATATAAGAAATTGCTTTAAATATTTTCCACAAAAATGTAACTACAGCCGAGCTTTGATAAGATTTAAGATACTGTTACCATACATATTTTTTAAGGATAATTATATCACTATGTTTCTTAATTTAACCCACGTAATGATAATTTCTTATTATGATGATGCTATAGAAATCGATATTGTATAAAAAGGCAAAGCATCGATAAAAAACATGGTCACAGATGATGCGGTATCGATGTAAATATGGATTATATCGATATTTATGACCAATTGTTTTTGAGAACTGTCAAAGTTGATCTTATCATTAGTTCATTTCATTCGTTCTTGTATAAGACAGTTTAATACTCTTTGTTCATTCGTTTTGTAACCGCCAAGAGAGTAACTTGTGAAGAATTAACCTATGAAATCTCTTAATGAATTAATCTTTAAAATCTGCGTTTATTTTGTTAAATAAAGAGTGAATTTTACAATACTGTCTATTTTACTTATTTATGATAATAATTTCTGTCCCCTTGTAATAACTTATCATACTTAAATCGATATTACCAAGGAATATAATAATGAGGCTGCTTTAATACATAAATGGCTTATCAGGATAAACAAAGTGTAAAATCAGGAAAAATAAAAAACCCATTAAGTGCGAGTCGGGTCTCGTTCAATTAGGGTTTTAATGAATATTTTGACCAATTAGCTTTTTTATAGAATAGTCAGTCAATATCACCAGATAGTGATATTGACTGCCGTCCATGAACAAGTGCTACACCAGGCGAATGGCAAGTACGTTGCCAGCCTAGTAGAAAGGAGTAATCCCGTTTCTTGAAGGTACCTAAGTCGTATCGGGTACTTTACGCACTAAGCGCTGTGTAAACCGCAAATCTAGCAAAGATCTTTCATATCGCGGGATGGTCGGCGGTTAATATAATAATGTCCCTTCAGATCAAATTTCGGTCGCGGCGTCCAGTCTCAAGAGAGGATTAACAGGATCTACGTATGTGCGTAAAGACAGATGCAATCTCAATTCCCTTACTCTAATAGTCCGTTACGACATTAATCCCTCATAGCTGGAGAGAGATCAGTCGTAGGATCAACGGCTTTTCGTGGTTACCGAGATACGGGACACCACCAGCTTCATTATTCCTGGCTGTTGCTGAGAGGTCAGTAATATACGTACATATGATGTTGTTACGTCTGTTATAAGAAGGGGTTTTCATGCATGAGTGGTTGTGGATGGTATTCTCTTCAATGTTCGTAATTAAAATATATATAATCAAAAGTACGAGTATTCAGACGCCAACAGAAATACTCAAACCAACAGAATTTATTCAAAAGTAAAAGTTGATGACACTGAAAACAGATTACTAAAACAATTTTACTACTGTTTTATAAAAATAAAAATTTAAAAAGCAATTAACATGAAATAAATTGATCTATAAGTATACATTTTACACGTAACTCTATTTTACTTTTTTAATTCAAATTAGTTAACTAAGTGGTTATTTATATAAATGTTTTTAATAATTTAACGTGTTCTGATATTGGCTCCAATCTTTTCATTAAAAATAAAAGAAATTTTTAATGCCAAAGACTCTTTTAATCCACGAAGCAAAAGACGGATAAGATTAAAACTCAGCAAATCCACAATAAACAATTTTATTTTGTGAAAGCTATTTATAGTTCACAAGCAAAAATCTGTGTTCTTAAGAAAGGAGGTTCTTAATGGAAAATTTATATTTTAAATTACAAATCACACTTTAGTGAATTATAAGATCTTTCTTGTAAAGATTGTAAATCTTTTAAAGTAGACATTTTTATTGGTAAGAACTTTGCATATTTTGTAAAATTTTAGTATATAAAGAATTACATTTTTGTAATAAATTATTATACTCGTTTTTACTCATTCTACTCGCTTTTTTCTTCCAGTTCAGTAGCTTGAAAACGTCTTCCGATGCAGCGGTGAAGAGTTTCGGGGAAATAACGTCACTCTGTCTTACATTTCTCTGCACTGGGATGTGTTTCGTACTCTGGTTCTGTACTCGGAGAGCCATCGTAGCCCTACTGTACAAATACTTCAGCACTTCGATATACCGACAGTCAACTTGGTATCGCTGAAGGGACTGTAGCACTGCCTAAATTTCGACGGAATCAAAGGCTTTCTCATAGTCCAAATACGCCAGGCAAAGTAGCAGATTGTACTCTTCGGACTTTTGTACAATTTGCCGAAGGGTATGTATGTGGTCTATGGTACTAAAGCCTTTTCGGAAGCCGGATTGTTCGGAAGGCTGGAGGTCGTAGAGTCTGCGTGCGAGACGATTCGTAATGACTCAAAAACAGCACGTAGACGCGGCTCAGAAGGGATATCGGTCTGTAGTTCTTCAAGAGGGCGTTGTCACCTTTCTTGAAAAACGAGACCACCCCACTTCTGCTCCACACCTCCGGAGTAGTGCCACCATGGAGGACGTAATTAAAGAACCTCGGAAGGACTTCAAGTACTGGTTTTCACCCGCTTTCAGAAGCTCTGCTGTAATTCCATCCTCGCCCGAGGACTTGCCGTATTTAAGGTGCTGGAGAGCCATTCTAATCTCTCTCAGACTGACGTGCGCGATATCATCGGAATAGTGTCGGATAAGACTTGCTATTGGATCGTTACTCACACTTGATGACGTGTACAGCTGTCCATAGAACCTCTCAATCTCATTCAGAATCTCACGTGTCCCGAAAACGATGCTGCCACACTCAGTCTTCAGCTTTGACAGTTGCCTCTTACTGGCAGACAGATCTCGGGCAAGGACTTTGGATTACTGGATCCGCTCGATCGCTTCTTTAATACGAGCTTTATTAAAGTTGCTCAAGTCTCGCGGCATGCATTTGGAGATCTGTATTTTCAGTTGCCTGTAAGCTGTCAAATCTGTTGACAGCAGTAGCCTCATCTCCCGTCTAACAGCCATGGGATTAAGAGTGTGATCGGAGAGTCTTTGTGTTCTTCTGCGGCGGGTTTTGCATAACTTTGCTCCGACCGCATGGACAGTTTCCACGAGCTTGTCATTCATATCGTCCACTGCACTGCAATCTTCTAGGTACTGAAAGCGGATCCGTAACTCGAGGTGAAAGCTTTCGGGATTCTGGATCAGAGCACGAGGGGAACGGAGCGTTGACTTCATTAGACGAGACCTCTCCAACTTGACGTTTAGGTTCAATGTGCCTCTGGCCATTCGGTGATCACTTCCAGTTTTCACCCTTGCGATCACTGAGACATCACTGAACAGTTGGCGTCTGGTCGTCATAATGAAGTCAATCTCATTTTTTGTCGTACCGTCGGGACTCGACCAGGTCCACTTCCTGTGGAGCCGCTTCTGGAAGAAAGAGTTCATCATAAAGAGTCCCTCTTTCACCATAAAGTCGGCTAGCTGCTGGCCCCTACGGTTCCGTTGCCCTACTCCAAATTTCCCTAACTTCAGCTCACCACTTTCTCTTGTGCATAGTTTTGCGTTGAAGTCTCCCATCATCACCGTGTGGTGGGTTTTGGAGGAATGCATGGCTCTGGAAATATCCTCATACATTTCCTCCACTTCCTCATCGGGATGTGCCGATGTTGGTGCGTAAACCTATATGATCTTCAGCGAATACCGTTTGGTGATTCTGAGTAACCTGATACTCAGAATGACACGACTCTCGTCGACACACTCCCAATCTTTACAATGTTGTTGACGAGAGACTTGTGGACGATTAATCCGACACATGGTCGCCCTCACGGTGATAGAACAAGTTGCCGGACTCTTGGATTAACGTGTCCTCCCCCTCTCTTCGGACCTTGGATAATCCAATAATATGCCAGCGCAACTTGTCTACCTCTTCTTCCAACTCCAGTATCTTCTCGTCAGTCCTCAGGGTGTGTGCGTTATATGTTGCCAGGTCGAATCGTCGTAAGTGGCAACGAAACCTCCACCAGAGATTCTTAGCATCCCCTGCCTCGCCGTTACCATGGTCGCCACCATAGTCAGGAATAGTGGGGCCGCCGGGGACTGGGGGCCGCTTGTTTGCATCGTTATTCATGGGGGGATATTTATCCTGTTGTAAATCGCAACTCAAGCTGCAAAAAATATTTGTGATGTTACGGGACCTAATACAGTGTCATTAAGAGTAGCACAAGTCAGTCCGAGAATTTTGATGTCAAAGATTGAGCTTGCTCTGGTCGCTCTCATACGGATAAATTCGATGCCATTTTTTGAATAAGTGGAATAAGATCGACATATTAGTGGTAACGACATAGCCGTGAAATTAAGGATTGACCACAAAATAGTTATATCTATTTGAAAAAGTCTGGCTATACAAAAAGCTCGATATTTGGGTACCACACGAGCTCACAACATCCTAATAAACAACTTAATAAATCGTGTATTCATTTGCGGTTCTCTATTAAAACGTATTGAAAATGAACTATTTTTGCAAAGATTAATTAGTGGTGATGAAAAATAGATCACCTACGACTAGAACGTGTGAAAAAATCATGGTAGTGAAGCTCCATAGACTGAAGTGAAACCCGGATTCATCGCAATAAGATGATGCTGTGTGTGTTCGAAGAGCATCGTTTATTATAAGCTTTTACCGCCAGACAAACCCATCGACTCAGATCTCTACTGCCAGAAACTAATGAGAAGCATGAAATTGAGAAAAAACGTCTAAAATTGATCAATAGTAAGGGAGTTGTCTTTCATCATGATAATGCAGACCACACACATATATGGCCATACAGCAAAAATTGATAGAGCTTGGTTGGGAAATGTTAATGCGTCTACCATATAGTCCTGAACTTGCACCCTCAGATTTTAACTTGTTTCGGTCCCTTCAGAATTATTTGAATAGTGTAGAGAATATTTCATATGTGCGCATTTTTGATCAAAATCACAATATTTCTACAGCAACGGGACTGTGTCACTACTTTCAAAATGAAAGTAGTTACGAGCTTAGGGTTCATGACAATAAAAAACTGCCGATTGCATAACTAAAAATGACACTTTAATTGCCGAACACCAATTATAACTTAAAATTTATCTCACTTAACAATTAGTTCGTAATTATATCGCTTCGAAGTATTCACTGGTTACGTCAATTCAATACTGTCTCGGTCGCGGTCCATAACGCCTTTACGAGTATATAGGGCCTTGTCAGCTGAAAACATCTAGAATGTTCAAGTAGAATGTCGAAAGTTCTAGCAAGGAATTTTCTAGAAAGCACTCCTAGTTCTGCCACGCCATACTAGATGGTGCTAGTCAATTTTCAAGAAATATCTTGGCGCTACTATTTCTGCTATTTGACACTAGATGGCGATAATAATCATCCGCCATATACAAGGCATTAATTATGGCGCGCAACACTGCCCCCTCCTAAAATGTATGCTCGTTCTGAGCATTATCGGCCCCATAATAACGCGCTAGTTGATACACATGGATGATTTTAGGAATACCTTTTGCACCTTTCTGTATCCGGTAGGTTACGTCATTGATCTTTGTCACAATCCGGTACGGGCAGGTTAGGAGATTTCCATTTGGAGCGGACTGGATTGTGTAACCACACTAGTGAACCTTCGTCAAACCCTTTGTTGTTCATTTTGCAGTCATATCGGTTTTTATCTTTTTAGATATTTGCTAGCCCGATTGTCTGACGTGCTCATAAATGTCATTTATTTTGTTCCGCAAGTCATTTGCATAATCGGTTATACTGCGTGGGGCATCAGGTGGTATTCCGGTGATCAGGCCTGCAGGCAGCCGTAATTCTATTCCGAAGTTTGAGGTCGTCCAGTGTTTTCTTCACGTCAGCCATCACGTTGTCAACTCGATTCTTCACTTGGTCGATTCGGGTTTCATATTCCGTCAGGTGGTTGTCATGTTGAGCAATCGTATCCTTCACCTCTTTTATCTATTTCCCGAACGTAGCGTGAAGGTCCTTCATGAGGAGCATATGCTACTGACGGGCCTGTTTTTCCTGTCGGCGGGCCTGTTCCTCCTGTCCGCACTGCAGCTGCTCTTCCAAACGAAGGGCCTGTTCTTCCTGTCGAGGGGCCTGTTCCTGCAACATCATCATCAGAGCACCTAAGTCAGGTGCTGTTGATGTTGAATCTGCTGACGGGCTGGCCTCAACCGAAATAAATTACTAACTTACTCGGTTTAAAGAAAATCGATGAAAAAAATGATCATAAAACACGATAGACGAAGGTAATATTTCTATGTGGCGAATTCTAGGTGCCCAGTACGTCGCTCTTATACTTGCTTTAATGTTTCCAAAAAATTAGAGGTAGGCGTTGAATGTAATTAATTATTCAAACTGTGCAAGCTGTGACGGATTAATTAAGGTAAAGTAAGTACGTACCGCAAAATGCTATATTATATACACACACGGAAATTAAAATCAATTAGTTCAATATAATGACGCTACGATTTATTCAAGAACAATATCTACAAAAATTGTATTGAAATAGGTTGTTTGGAAAGTTATTGCGTTTTTTTCCAACGGAAAACTTTTTTTATTTTTTTCACAATAGTTTGTTATGGCCAGTTGGCTGATGAAGACACAACAAAAGCATTAACTGATGTAAACCGGCAAATAAAACTCGTGATGTTGTAGAAAAATTAAATTTATTGAATTTAACCGTTCATAATCATAAGAAATGCCTAGGTTTAATCTCAAAGCTCTAAATATGGGTTCCCAACGTTCTTACTGAAAGTAATTGGTGCCGTCGAGTTAACGTCAGTGATTTGCTTCTCAAATGTCAAGAAAATCATTAGGACAAGAAATGGGTTAACTGTAAAAATTTCAATTGCAAGAAATAGTCGATTAAAAAAGACGAACCGGCTCAAAATACTTCCAAAGCGAAATTAATAAAAAGGTGATGCTATCTGTTTAGTGGGATTTTAAGGAAACCGATTTTATTTAGCTTCTACCTGATAGTCAATTCTGTTTTGTACTATCATCAGTAGGTATAAGTCAATAGGAAAAGTGTAATGTTCTACCTAGATAATGCGAAACGTCATACAAGTTTGTTGACCCGCCAAAGCCTTTTGCAGCTTGAATGAAATATACTGCCACATATACCATCCGTCATCCAAAACCTTCTAAAGGTTGCTGTCAAAAAGTACGCATCTGTCCACAACCATCAGAAGGTTGCTGGTTACTTATACTCAGATCACCAAACGGTATTCGCTAAAGGTCGTATAGGCTTAGATACTAACGTCGGCAAATCCCGATGATAATATCGAGGAAATTCTAGAGCCATGCATTCCAAAACCCACTATACGCTGTTAATGGGAGACTTCAACGCAAAACAAGGCCAAAAAAAGGTGCGCCAAAGGAACCCAAGGGGCCAGCAGCTAACCGACTTCATGGAGAAAAAGGGACTCTTTATGATGAACTTGTTCTTCCAGAAGTGGCCCCACAGAAATTAGAACTGGTCGAGCCCCGAGGGTTCGACAAAAAATAAAATTGATTTTATTATTACTACTAGGCGGCAACTGTTCAATGGTGTCTCAGTGATTGCAAGGGTGAAAACTGGCAGCGATCGCCGAATGGTTAGAGGCACACTGAACTTAAACGTTAAGTTGGAGAGGTTTTGTCTAATGAAGTCAACGTTCCGTCCCTCTCGTGCAATCGTGAAAAAAATCGTGCATGCAAAGTCCCGAAACCTTTCATGTCGAGTTACAAAACCGTTTTTAGTGCCTAGAAGATTACAATGCAATGGACGATATGAATAACAAGCTCATGGAAACTGTACATGCAGTCGGAGCTAAGTTCTGCAAGACCAGTCGCAGGAGAACACAAAATCTCTCCGATCGCACTCTTAATCTTATGTTAGAGAGGAAATGAAGCTGCAGTCTTCAATAGATTTGACAGAAAACAGACAACTAAATAGACAGATCTACAAATGCATTCGTCGGGACTTATGAAAGCAAGCTTAAGTGGGAAGCGATTTGGCGAAACCAGGGCTCCAAAGTCCTTTCCGGAGATCTGTCTGCCAGAAATAGCAAACTATCAAAACTGAAAACTGGGTATAGCAGCATCGTTTCTGGGAAATCTGAGATTTTGAGTAAGATTGAGAGGTTCTATGAGCAGATGTACACATCATCGTTGAAGCCACAAGCAAAAGTTATCCCGGACGGCTGTCTGAGAGAGACGAGAATGGCTCTCCAGCAACTTAAAAATGGCAGGGCCGGGCAATTACAGCGGAGCTTCTGAAAGCGGGTGGAACACCGGTACCTTAAGTCTTTCAGAAGCTCTTCAAATCCGTCCTTCATGGTGGTCTTACTCCGGAGGCGAGAAGCAGAAGAACAGTGGGTCTTGTTCTTCAAGAAAGGCGACAACGCTCTCTTGAATAACAACAGCCCGATTTCCTTTCTGAATCGTCTCGCATGCAGACTCTAATACTTCCAGCCTCCCGAACAAGCTGGTTTCTGCAAAGGCTTCGGTACCATAGACAATATACATACCCTGCGGCAGATTGTTCAGAATACCGATC